TTTTGGACGTCCTTCGTCGCGGCGCTGTGACGTATGCGGCCGACAAATTCGACCTTCGGAGGACCCGTCCTGCCGTTTTGGACACAGCCTTTGTGTTGTTTTTAGCTGGTTGATGCTAATAATCGTTAGCACAAGGTAGCTAACACCAGTGTTGTATTAAGTACCTCAAAGTAATACTTGAGTAAAAGTACAAGTGTCTTATCATAAAAGTACTTTGGTAAAAGTTAAAGTCTTCTCTAAAAATATTACTTGAGTAAAAGTCTTAAAGTATCTGAAATTTTAGGTACTTAAGTATCAAAAGTAAACACAAAATCTACTTAAGTATTAAAAGTAAAAGTACTGAGTAAAACTGAGCAGTTAGATTTTCCAAAATGACATTTATTGGGAGGTGACTTCTCCAAAAAATATTTTTTTTCTAATGGCGTGCAGCTGTGATGGGTTGTGTACAAGCTAATAGTTTGTCAGAATGGTATATATTTATACTTCTCATCCAACCACAATTAAATTCACTCTATCCAGGAGACAATTTATCAGGACAGTATTTTTGTAAGTAATAACAACTCGGAATAAAATAGGAGTAACAACTTTCTACTTCTTACCTTTTTAAAAAATGTAGTGAGTAGAAAGTACAGATAATTGTGTAAAAATGTAATGAGTAAAAGTAAAAGGTACGCTGAAAAATAATTACTCAAGTAAAGTACAGATAACCAAAATTTCTACTTAAGTACCGTAACAAAGTATTTTTACTTAGTTACTTTACAACTCTGGCTATCACCAACCCAGACTTTGTGTCATTCTTTTTAGCTAGTCGATGCTAATACTAGTTAGCACAAGGTGGCTAACACCAACCCAGATTTTGTGTTGTTCTTTGTACTTTAATATTTAACTAATTAGCCATTTCAACCCAGCTTTCAGGTACCTCCAGCAGTCAGGGAGTGAAAGACAAGGGACACCCTGGACAGGTCCCCTGTCCATCACCGGGACACATAGAGACAAACAAGACAAACAACTCGCTCACACCTAGGGATGACTTTAGAGTCCGTGAGAGAAAATCCAGAATACACGAGGAGAAAAAAGCAAACGCCACACAGAAAGGCAGGAAGGGGAACCTACGACCTTCTCTGTGAGGCGGCAGCACTAACCACTGCTCCACCGTGTCACCCACATAGCCCTTCAACAAACAAAAGCTTCCTCTGGTTTTATTCTGAACTGAAACTAGGTGCTGGTTGCAATCCTGAACCCGCCGATCAGAAAACATCAAATCCTGCGCCGCTGCTTCTGCGTTTCGCACGTGGAAAACTAAGCGACGAGTTCGACAGATTTTCTGCTCTGCGTTCATTTTTAGTTCGGTCTGCATGGAAACGGTTGCTACGTTGGATGTCGAAAACCCCCTCAGAACCGCAAAGAAGCCCACGCACTCCACAGGCAGCCCAGAAGAACTCTCAGCACTCCCACTCCCACGATGCTCCGCAACACAACACCGCCTGTGTGTCCACACACACACACACCAGAGACAAACAAATGCATTAAAAAGCTGACGGTTACACAACCAGGTCAATCAGCTGGCATCAGAACCTACTTGTTTGTTTTTGTTTGACTAAAAACTTAATTTCTGTGAATTTGTATGAACTGGACATGTATAATTAAAAATATTCTAACCAGATCCATATAAATAAGCTTATTTTAAAACTATTTAAAGTTGGATGAGTTTGAACAGACTTTTCTCCAACACAAACATGTTTCTTTGCCTCCTGATTATCAGTTCCTCTCACCTTTTCATCCTCCTGTCACACCAACCCTCCTACTCAACCTTCACCGTGGTTTTCCACTTTTCCTCCTCTCAGACTGCTGATAATTCATATTATATGAATTAACATGTTTATTTACAACTCCCATCTGAGAAAGTTATGATAGCGGATAAAATTAAAATTAAAAATGGCAATGCAATGGTTTGTAAATCTCATAAACCCATATTTTATTAGGTGAAATTCTTATTTATCTGTTGTTAATTAACCCAAATTATTGTTTTAGTATTTATATTACATACTTTTACCAGAGGTGTATAATAACGAAGCACATTTACTTCATTACAGTACTAAATTTTTTTTAGGGTCTGTAATTTTACAAGGATTTATTTTTAAATAGTAACTTTTACGTTTATTTCTGTACATTCAAAACATAAAAATGATACTTTTACTTTTCCACTTTGAAATGTAACACATTACACTTTAATTACACTTTACAAATTTAAAAAGGACCAAACTCATCATGAAGGAGTTGCTTATGCACTCTAAAAATGAAGTGTTGACTTWACTTAACTAAATTTTGTCAACTGGTTCCATTAAACCGAGCTAATGTTTTTACATTTACTCAAATCAGTTAAGTGGAACCAGTTGTATGGAGATAATTTTGTTTTTTTATTATTCAATCAATATTTGGTTGAAATTATTA